TCCCCACCCTCCTCCCCATCCAGCAGAAGGCTCAGCCCCACCGGGACCCCATCCTGCGGGAGAACCCCCCCTCTCCGTCTCCGACCCCGGGGGATGCGTTCAGCCGCCGGTGCCGTCCGTATGTCCTGCTGTGAGCGATGCCGGGGGGTGCGGGGCCGCAGCCGTAGCCCCCTCCCCTCCATTAAGGGACCGAGCCCCCACCCTGGGGTGCCCCGCTCAGAGCGGGGTGACCCTACGTCGGAAGCAGCCGCAGGTGAGGCACCGCAGGGCGCCCATGCTGAGGTGGAAGAGGGTGCCGTAGTCGAAGAGCAGGCGGTAGTAGGTCCTCACGGACAGGTCCCCCGAGGGGTCCGCGTACTTGAGGGCCACCAAGGGCGTGTAGAGGCGGTTGGTTTGCGTGCGGAAAGCCGGCCGCCTGGCTCCGATCACGTTCACGATCGCCTGCGAGCGGAGAGGGGAGGCTCAGGGCCGGGAACGGCCCCCAGAAGTCCCCCCCCAACTCCTCCCAGCCCCACACCTCGGCCACGTCGGTGGGGCTCTGCCCCAGCGTGGTGAAGATCTCGTGGGAAGCCGGCAGGTACACGTCTTTGAAATACCGCACGGTAGCCGGGTCGGTGCCGGGAAACTCGGAGCGTGAAACCTCCTCCATCAGCTTCAGCTCGAAATCCGTGTTCACGGGGCCCGGCTCCACCATGGAGACACTGCGGGGCCGGGGTGGGTGCTCGGGGTGGGGGTCCAGAGCCACCCGTGGGCCCTCTGGGGTCCTCCCCGCGCCCCCTCACACTCACAAGACGTTGAACTGCAGCAGCTGCACGGCCAGGCTCTCGCAGAATCCCTCCACGGCGAACTTGGAGGCGGCGTAGACGTCGTTGAAGACGATCCCTGCGGGCGGAGAGGGGCCGAGCTCGGTGAGACCCCCCTGGAGCGAGACCCCCGCCGCAGCGGGACCCCCCCCACGCCTCACCCTGCAGCCCCATGACGCTGCTGATGACCACGATGTGACCGCTCTGCCGCCGCTTCATGTCGGGGAGGACGGCCTTGATCATCCTGACGGCCCCGAAGAAGTTGGTTTCGAAGATACGCTTCATCTCCTCCATGCTGATGCTCTCCACGGGACCGACGTGCCCCACGCCGGCGTTATTCACTGCGGCACGGTGCCGGGGGGGCTCAGAGACCCCCCGCGGCCGCCCCGTGTGACCCCCACCCAGCACCCCGCTCACCCAGCACGTCCACCCGTCCCCCGGGGATGCTCCCCATGCACTCTGCCACCGAGCTGTCGCTGCAGACGTCCAAGCGTTGGATGTTCAACGTCTTTCCCAGCGCCGATCCCGCCGCCTCTTCCAATTTCTCCTTCTTCCGCAGGTCCCGCATGGTGGCGATGACTGCGGGGAGCCCCAGCCCGCATCAGGGGGACCCCGGATGCCAGCCGGGGTCGGAGGGTCAAGCCGGGACGACGTTCCCTAAGCTGCTTTGGTAACACGGCCTTTAATCCCCACCCCGGGGCTAATCCCCAGCCCTGGCACGGGGTCGGTGGCGGGGCAGCGGCGTCGTGGGGACACACACGTGTGCGTCCGCCCGGGTGGGAGCGTGCTGCCGGTCCCGGTTACGCGCGTGTGCGCTCGCAACCGTGCGCTGCTCGTGTTGTCCGTGTCCCTGTGGGGCTGCCCCACGTCCCCAGCTCCGCCTGGCAGGGTGCTGGGTGGGGGGCACGGGGACGCCTCGGCGCGCTGAGGCGGGGGGGTCTGCGAGTTTGGGGCCACCGGACTTCAAGTCCTGGGGGCCGTGAGGAGAAAGAGGCTCCGGGGCTGGATGGAGGGGGTGAGCAGGGAGCGGTGGGACCCCAAACCTCCCCACCCCGCTGCCCCATCCTGTCCCCTCCTGGGACAACGTGGAAGGGTCCCCTCCCCGCCTCTCACCCTGGAAGCGCTGCTGGGGGTCCTGCGCCAACCTCACGGCGACGGCGAGGCCGATGCCGGAGGAACAGCCGGGGACGAGGACAGTGCGGGGCGCTTGGGTGGCCATGGCTGCGCTGGCCTCCGGTCCAAAGGCTCTTATGAGATTAGGAGCCGGCGTCACGTGGGAGCGGGATCAAACTCCCCGGGGAGGGCACGGGGGTCCGCCGGGTCGTGGCCCCCTCCCCTGCCCGCCCGCGCGGGGCGCGGCGGCCCTCGGGGCCCCCCCGGCGGGGCAGCTGGGACCGGGACAGGCGATGGCCCCGTGGCGAGGTGCCCGCCTTGCGCCCTGGGCCAGGCGGGGACCCCCCAGCCCCCCAGCCTGTGCTGGGGGGCCGCGGGGGAGTGGGGACACGGTGGCTGGGGGTTGGGGAGGGGGCTGCGCTGTCCCCCCAGCCCGGGGG